CTTGGGCTGGGCAGGGTTGGAGGCTGGGGCCGCAGTGCATGCTGGGGACTGTAGTTCGGGCGTATGGCGGGAGTCGCGCTTGTGCACCTGCAGCCCGCCTCAGCTACGGGCAGGGGACTTGTGTCTGAAGCGAGGGCCGTGGGGCATGCTGGGGAATGTGGCGACTGTGGCCCCATTGCAAGGCATGCGGGGACATGTAGTTTTCTCTAGCCGAATGTGGCCGGAGATGTTTATGCCTGTTTGTAGTTTGGCTCAATACTCCGGGCAGTGGGACCCGGGGACAAAATCTGGGCTCTGCCTGTGGCCTTGAGGTGGGCCCTCACTGGCAGCTGGCTGGTTCTAAGTAATGCACTCCCCATCAGCAGAGGCACCTAAGCAGGAACAGGTGTTCTCAGTCCCTTTCCCCAGCATCCACTGTATCTGAGCTGGAGAAAGGACTCCCTCCACAAGCCCTTTCCCCACTGCCTCTCTGCTGGCAGATACCTCACCACTAAGGAGCAGTTCCACGAATTCCTGGAAGCCAAAGGGCAGGAGAAGCCCAGCCAGGAAATCGAGGCAGGAGACCCCGGTAGCAATGACCTGGCTGAACCTGAGGCCAAGCGCATCCGACTGGAAGATGGGCAGACAGGGGAGGCGGCTGAGCCCGGAGAGCAGCCGCAGGCTCAGAAGAGAGCCCGGGGCCAGAACAAGGGCCGACCCCACATGAAACCCACTCACTATGACAAAAATAGGCTCTGCCCGTCCCTGGTCCAGGTGAGTGTAATTGTTGCTTGAAAGCCCTAGAGACCTTGGGTGTGAGCCTCTCTGCTCCCTGTTCAATCCTTAGGAAGTTGCGACGTGTTATTGTCTTCATCTTCCTGATGAAGAAACTCAGGCTTGATGGGTTCCTGACTTGCCCCAGGACACGCAGCAGGAGGGGAGGGGTTTGAGGCTCACACCCAGGCTGCCTGGTTGGCCCGGCCTCCCCCCATCCGTCTTCATGGCTTGTTGGTTCCCATTCAGGATTCAGCTGCAAAGTGTTTGTTTGGCGACCGCTGCCGCTTCCTGCACGACGTGGGCCTCTACCTGGAGACCAAGCCGTCGGACCTGGGCCCCCGCTGTGTGCTTTTCGAGACCTTTGGCAGGTGCCCCTATGGTGTGACCTGCCGCTTCGCTGGGGCCCATCTGGGACCCGAAGGCCAGAACCTGGTGCAGGAAGAGCAGGTCCAGGTCCCGCCAGTCCGCAACGGCCTGGACAAGGCCCTGCAGCAGCAGCTGCGAAAGCGCAAGGTCCGCTTCGAGCGCGCCGAGCAGGCCCTACGCCAGCTGAGTAAGGGCCACGTGCCAGGCCCCTCCCCTGAGGCCGTGGTCCCTGAGGTCTCGGGGACCGAAGGTGCCCCCGGGCAGGACAGCAGTGACACCCAGCAGGCCCTCCCAGAGCCAGGCGCTGATGCCCTTGCCAGTGGCTCGGTGCAGACCTGTGGGCCCCTGACGGACGAGGATATAGTCAGGCTGCGGCCTTGTGAGAAGAGGAAGGTTCGTGGACGGGGCTTCCTGCTGAGGGCGCTGGTAGTGTGCGGGCAGAAAGAGCTGAACGCACACCCCAGCCCCAGAGAATCAGGGCTGGGGTGGAGGGAGGGAAGGAGGGAGGGAAAGGCTTCTTGGAAGAGGGGCAGAAGGGGCATCAGGCCTGCGGTTTTGACAGTTGGGCAGAAGCTCTGCAGCAGAGGAGAACACGGAGAACAGAACAGTCCTCCCACAGGTTCTGTTGACTTGTGCAGAGGCCCAGAGGTTGGCGGGGGGTGGGGGGAAGCAGGGGAGCCCCAGAGGCCTGGCCACCTTCCCTGGGTTTTATTTCCCTGCAGCTGGACATCAGTGGCAAGCTGTACCTGGCGCCCCTCACCACGGTATGTCAGCCCGGCGGTGCCCAGTGTCTGCCCCTGCCTGGTGGGTCCTGAGGCGTCCGGGGTCCCTGCCTGCTGCCCCTCACGTGTGCCCGTGTCCCCCGCTGCCCCCAGTGCGGGAACCTGCCCTTCCGGCGGATCTGTAAACGCTTCGGGGCTGACGTGACCTGTGGGGAGATGGCTGTGTGCACCAATCTGCTGCAGGGCCAGACGTCTGAGTGGGCTCTGCTCAGACGCCATCCATGCGAGGATATCTTTGGCGTCCAGGTTGGTGCCGCCCCGAGGAAGGGAGGTGGGAAGTGTGGGGGGGCTCTTGGCTGCCTAGCTTTGGGGCAAGTTCAGGGTCGGATCTCCCTGACCCCAGGCCTGACTCAGTCACTCCCAGACCCTTCTTGCCTCAGCCATGGGCCCAAGGGCTGACCCGATGCCCCTGTGAGGGCCGGGGGCCTTGGCGCAGAGCCACTTTGGGGAGACAAGGCCACTGGCTCCGTCCCCATAGTGGGCAGGGACACCTTGTCCAGCCCCTTACTCCCTGCTCCGCCCCCGGCCACAGCTTGAGGGCGCCTTTCCTGACACCATGACCAAGTGTGCCGAGCTGCTCAACCGCACCATTGAGGTGGATTTCGTGGACATCAACGTCGGGTGCCCCATCGACCTCGTGTATAAGAAGGTAGCAGCCGCGTGGCCCTGGACCTCCACGGTGCGGGTGGGCAGGAGCCCGGGACCCGGCCTTGCTCCTGCCTGAGTCTCTGGGGACCTGTGGGGGCTACTGGGCCTTGGTTTCCCTGTTTGGACGGCGAAGGCAGAGAAGGCTGTCAGGCCCAGCTTGTGTCCCGCCTTCCCTTGCTCCAGCCCCCCGTTTCTCCCAGGGTGGGGGCTGTGCCCTCATGAACCGCGCAGCCAAATTCCAGCAGATCGTCCGCGGCATGAACCAGGTACGCCCTCGGCCGCCCCCGCCTCCTCCCCGGCCTGGCCCCGGGTCCCACTGACCGCCGCCGTCGCCGCAGGTGCTGGATGTGCCGCTGACGGTGAAGATCCGCACGGGCGTCCAGGAGCGTGTGAATCTGGCACACCGCTTGCTCCCTGAGCTGCGGAACTGGGGTGCAGCCCTGGTCACGGTGGGTCTCGGGGCACGGAGGGCGTGGGGCCCTCAGGAGCGCTCGGCAGCCCTTCCTAATGGTCTCTCTCTTCCTGCTTCTCCCTCCTGCTCTCTGGCTCTCCCTCCGTCTCTGCCTCCGTCTGTCTCTTCGTCTCTCTGTCTCTCTCTCTCAGCCTGTCTCTCTTGATCTCTCTGGGTCTCTTTCTCTGTGTCTGATCCTCCGCCTCCTGGCCCGTTCTCCCTCCCCGCGCGTGGCTTCTCCTTCAGCTCCACGGCCGCTCCCGGGAGCAGCGCTACACCAAGCTGGCCGACTGGGAGTACATCGCGCGGTGTGTGACGGCAGCCAGTCCCATGCCCCTGTTCGGTGGGTCCCCTGCCGCCCGCCCCCCCGGGACCCTTCCCCGCCCCCGGGGACGTCACTGGGCTGGCAGGACCGCCCCTCGAACTCCCGCCTGCCCCCAGCTCCCTGAGACCCCCCAGCCTCTGTTCCTTAGGAAATGGGGACATCTTGTCGTACGAGGATGCCAACCGCGCCATGCAGACTGGCGTCGCGGGGGTGATGATCGCCCGGTAAGCGTGCTCTGTGTCTGGGGGGCTACAAAGAGCCGGCGGGAGCTGCACCTGCCTCCCTGCCCCCGTCCCTGCTCGGTGTTCCCGGCAGGTGGCTCTTCCAGGACAAGGGGCAGAGAGGGGGTGCGCAGCGGCTGGGGAGGAGGCGGGGAGCAGGCCTCTGTGCCCTTGAGGGTTGGAACTCTTGGGCTTTGAAGGTTGGCTGAGCCCGGCAGGGAGGCAGGGACCAGGGCTCCAGTCGCCAGCCACCAACCCCCTCCCCATCCCCCCCGCAGGGGTGCCCTGCTGAAACCATGGCTGTTCACGGAGATCAAGGAGCAGCGGCACTGGGACATCTCGTCGTCTGAGCGCCTGGCCATCCTACAGGACTTCACACGTTACGGCCTGGAGCACTGGGGCTCGGACACGCAGGGCGTGGAGAAGACCCGCCGCTTCCTCCTGGAGTGGCTGTCCTTCCTGTGCAGGTGGGCGCTGGGGCCGGGGGGTGGGGGGCCGTGTGTGGGGACGGCCCGGCCTCACCCCGTGCCCGCCGCCCGTAGGTACGTGCCCGTGGGCCTCCTGGAGCGGCTCCCGCAGAGGATCAACGAGCGGCCGCCCTACTACCTGGGCCGCGACTACCTGGAGACGCTCATGGCCAGCCAGCAGGCGGCCGACTGGATCCGGATCAGGTGCCAGGAGACCGAGGCGCCGGGCTGTGGGAGGCTGAGGGGGGCCCGTGGGCCGCAGGCCTGACTCCACCCTGTGCCCTCTTCACAGTGAGATGCTGCTGGGACCCGTGCCACCCAACTTCGTCTTTCTGCCGAAGCATAAGGCCAACGCGTACAAGTAGCCGCGGGGTGGGGAGGGGGCGTCTGAGGGCCCAGCGGGGCCTCCCGCTGCGTGAGAATACAATAAATTTTATTCTTTTAAAACCCAGGCGTTTCTGTGACCCCGAGGCTTCCCCGTCCGCCTCTGGGGAGCTTTGTCTCGACGCCGGGCTGACCCTGTCCCCAGCAGTTACTTTTCCTTTCTCATTGACGAGTCTCCCAGCCGCCCCCATGGGCCCAGCCCTGTGCTGGCCACTACGGCTGCCCAGGGAGGCTTTACCCACAAAGAAACCGCTAGGGCCTGCGAGGCAGGGGCCTCGGCCCTCGTGGGTGTGGATCCGGGCAGGCTGCCTGGAGGAAGGAGCCCTAGAGCTGCCCAGGGCATGGCTGGCAAAGGGTCTGCCCCACCCTTTGTGAGGCCTGTCTCTGGCTGCCTTGGTTTCTCCATCTGCCCTCTGCCCACCCCCCCACCCCCTGATACCGGAATCCTGACCAGTGGGCGGGCCGCAGCCTGGAACCTGCCACCCAGAGTAACCAGGCAAATAGAACTCTGCAGGACTCTGAGCCTGTTCTCCGGGTGGGCCGCCTGTGCTCCCACCTGCTGCCCTCCTGGCCTGCCCAGGCCGGGCGCCCTGCCTCCCCATGCAGCACCCCAAACCTTTCTATGCGCCTACGGCTCCCCAAGAAGGCTTCAGCCCCCGGGGCCTGGATGGCACCGAGGGGCCAGGCAGCCAGCCTGCTCCCACCTGCACGGAGCCTCTTCCTGCTGTGGGTACGAGTCGGAGGGTGTCGGGTGTGAGGGGGGGTGGGGGTGCCTGACAGGGTGGGGACCAGGGCTTAGGAGTGCTTTTGTCCACAGGGTCCTCCAACCTGTATCAGCCCCCAAACCCGGAGAAAGAGGTGTTTCCAGCCCCTCCGGCAGGTACCAGCCCCTCCCCCAGCCCTTGATGAGGACCCGGGGGTGGGTTGGAGGGGTCTGGGCCTATCCTGCCCATGCCCCTGGCCCTAGGTGGCTCCCAAAAGGTAAGGCCTATGTCTCTGGTCCCTCAAGTAGGCCTTCAGGGGCAAAGCCTGTGTCCCCCATTCCCCAGACAGGTCCCCAAAATGATGCCCAGGGCTCCTGACTCCCAGATGGGACCCCAGAGGCGGGACCTCTGTCCCCATTCCTCAGATGGACCACTACGCCAGCTCTCTATTCCCTGTCCCCCGGATGGGCCCCTGAGGTTTGGGCTGTGCGTCTCACCGCCTCCACCCTATACTCCTTCCCCCAGGTGGGTCCCAGGGCTCCTCTCAGGGCTGCCCCTCCCTGGCCTGCAGGTTTCCAGATGGCACCCTGCGGGTGCTTCTTTGACCCCCGCATCTACCGAATCGAGTGGGCCACCACCGACTTCGGCCAGGCGTCCCTGTACAAGCTGACGGCAGTGGGCGGTGGGGGACCCCCCGGGGGTCTGGCTGAGGGCCCCGCTTCGCCAGGCACCTACCTCCTAGAGCCCCAGCACTACCTCAAGGCCCCGGTGCCGGCCCCACCGCCCCCGCCATACCCACACTACCAGCCGCTGCCTGGGAGCCCCCAGTACCTCATGCCCTACTTCCCACCCGAGGGGCCTGGGCCAGAAGCTCTGGGTTTTGTGGGGGATGGGGGGCCCCCTGCCTACATGGAGCTGCCTCCGCCCCTGCTCAAGGAAGGCCTGGGGCCAGCCCCACCACTGCCCGCACCGCCACCGCCACCTGTCCCCGAGGAGAACAAGCTGCCTCCCCTGCTCATCACGCTCCCCACTGAGGCCGCGCTGCCCCCCGGCCCCTACGGCCACCTCAAAGGCCGCCTCAGTCAGTTCCACGGGCCCAGCGAGCCCCTGGCCTTCCCCTCCAAGGAGCTGCAGGGTGGTGGGGCCGGGCCGGCCCTGCTGTACCCGCCGGGCCCTGGGGAGCCCAAGGCGGCCGAGGCAGAGGCAGCCCCACTGGGGGCGGGTGAGGCCAGGATCCCCGAGGCAGCCAGGACCTTCGTGCTACCTGAGAAGGTGCTTCTGGAAGATGCAATGAAGCTCTTCGACTGCTTGCCGGGCAGCGCTGAGCCCGACGGGTCCCCGCGCACGGCCCCTGGGCCTGCCCTGCCGGACAGCGGGGGTGGCGGGGACGACTCTTCCAGCGACATCCGCTCGCTGCACCTGCCGGACGAGCTGCTGTCCTTTGACTACAGTGTGCCCGAGATCCTGGACACCGTTTCCAACGTGGACTACTTTTTCAACTTCAAGGCCCTGGATGAGGAGCCGCTGCCCCGCCCAGGGCCCCCAGCCGCCAACACCGTGGCCCCCGTGGTGCGGCCTGAGCTTCCCAGCAAGAAGAAGGCCGGCACCTCGTCCGCCAAGAAGGGCAGGCAGGGAGGCAAGGGCAAGCAGGCTGCGGGCCCGGCCAGCGCCACCCCCTCGGGGCCCAGGCAGGACCTGGGAGCCACCCCGCATTAAAATGGATTTGACCTCTCGGCTTGCTGTCAGCTTGGTGGCATCGCGGGGCCTGGGGACAGCGAGCCTAGGCTGGACATGGAGGACGGTCCCCTCCTCCGCCCTGTCGCAGCGGGCCCGGGGTCACATAGGAAGGCCCGGCAGGCCCTCAGCACCCCCTGGGTACTGGGCTTCCAAAGCTGAGCCGGGGAGCCCTACAGTCACGGGGAATTATAAATCCCTCCTCCAAGACCCGGAAAATCGGTCAGCCAGCAGAGACGGCGGGGGCGGGGGGGCGGGGAGCAGCTTCTGGAAGGTGGGAGACGCTATCCAGACTGCGCTGTGAGGATCTTTTGCCCAGGTGTTTGGCGGGGAAAGGGTTGCCCAGAGAGGGGCAGGAAATGGCCCAGTGATGAGGCCTACTCTCCGCCCGCAACCTGCTTCTCTCCCCCTTCAGAGGACCAAGGGGCCCTCCTGCCCCAGGCCCTGGGCTGGGTCTCTGGGGCCTTCAAGGTCGGGCTCTGCTGGGGTGGCCCCGGGGGTGTGGGTGTGGGGAGGCAGCGTCAGCAGCCCGAACCCGGCACCTCCCGTCGGCCAGGCACCGCACCGGGAGCCTGCTGGGCTCGCCTCCCTGCACCCTCCTTCCAGAGTTTCCAGAGTCTGCGCCTGCCCCCGCCTGGCCAGACAGACAAGCCTGGAGCCCACTGCCCTCCGCTTCCTGCTGAACCCCCTCTCCCCGCAGCCACGTTTGGGGTATTTTTAAGACTAAAGCCAAGTGCTTTTGGTGAAGGGAAGGCCCTGGCCAAGGACATCGGAGGATGGGCTTGGTTTCCTTGAAGGTCAATGCGAATGTGAGCTGTCAGCCTAATGTGGAGGGTGGCTGGGGACACGCTCGCCTGGGAGGGCGGGGTAACGGCTCCCTCCTCTGTCTGCCGGTCGAGGCTTTCCACGACCGGACCAAGATGGGACTGGACCATGAAGCGGACCGTGGAATGTACTTTTTTTAACCTAACAGGAAACTCATGGGGCCACCCAAGTTCTCCCTTGAGATGAGGTGGCCGTCCCGTGCCACCAAGGAGTTAAGAGTGAGGTGGTGGGTGGAGAGGGACCCCCCCACTGGCCGGCTAGGGAGAATACACATAGCCGTGTATGTTGTATATACGTGCATACACCTGTGCACACCTGGATGCACGCCAGCTATGTGTGCACGTGGGTGTGTGTATCTAAGTGTGTACACGTACTCAGCGGCTCACGCGCTCGCGTCATGGGTGTGTGTACACATTAGGTGTGCACGCACACGTGTGTATATACGTGTGTGTACACATGGACGCTTCCAAACGTTTCTCCGTGTACGTAGCAGAACGCGCACGTACGTGTTTGTGTACACGTGACGGTTTATACCCCAGGAATGGAATCCCACCGGTCGCTGCCTTCTGCAGACCACCCCCCCCCCACTTCTCTAACGGGACTCGTGGCTGTGTCTTAGGCCTTCCAGAGGGTCGCCTCTTACTCCGCCGGGTGCCCTGCTCCTTCGTTTCACCGGCGTCCTGTTGACCCGGGCTGCCCCGCTCCTGTCGCAGAGGAGCTGCGACATGAGGATGCCGCGGGAGGCGGCAGAGGCAGGTGGCGGGGACAGAACACGCTCAGCACACGTGGCACGCACACTGCCGCCAGCTGTTTTAATGGAACACTTTAAGACCACGCTGGGGTCCCCTGGTGCACTCGGCACCTGCCTCGGAAACATGCACAAGCCTTTCGGCACCTCCTGCAGGGATGAATCCAGAAGCCCTTGAACCTGAGGCCCTTCTCCGTGTGCAGCAGTTTGGGGACGGCGTAGGCCAACCACACGGACAGCAGCATGGCCACCATGAGCGGGATGATCGTGACTACCGCCGGGATGATGGACAGGGGGAAGGCCCCGTACACGTAAACGCTGAAGGTGGTCTCCAAGTGACAGTAGCTGCAAGGGGTGGTTGGAGAGAGGCCATGGTGTGCTGCCCCTGGGGCCCTGCCCTTCACCCAGTAAATGTGTTAAAACCCACAGATAGGAGCGCTGGGCCCCCGGTGGTCAGTTGGGATGCCAAGTTCCATTTCTGCCCATTTCAATGCTTCTCCAGTCTGAGTCTGCTGTCCTCTGTCTGCTGGCAACAGTCCTGTTTCCCCGCCAGGTTCCCTGTGGTACCCTCCTCCTCCAGGGACCAGCAGTCTCCCTGACTCCAGAGCCCAGGCTCAGTCTAGAGAGGCAAACAAACCATCCCATTGCCGAGTGGAAGCAGAGGGCGGGCATGCTGGCGGCCACAGGCCTCCACGAGGTGGGCAGAGAGCGACAGGGTGGAGCAGGCTGGGAGGGGGAACCCAGGGTATAGAAGAACTCACTGGAAGCACGGTGCGGAGAGAGGAGATGATAGGACCAAAGGTAGTCCTCTCCTCTGGATATGCCACCCCATGTCTTCCACCCATGGCCATCCCAGAGTTGGCCCCACGATGTCAGGGTGTAGGGTCTCAAGGGAAGGCAGGGTCTCCATGTGCTTTGGGGGTGGGCTTTGTATCTGTCTAGAGGGGATAGATGATGGGGAAGGACATTGTCCCATATGCCCCCTTCCAGTGGGAGACGTTGGTAATCTAGGCCAGCACACCTAGAAACCTCTTCGCACACGTGGGTGGAAAATATTCAACAACCAGCTCTAAGGGGGAAAGGCCGAAATTTGTAGGGTGTGCCGAGTCCCATGGTGTAAATTCTCTCACTGTGGCTGATTTCAGGCTACAGGGAAATCAGTTGGGAAAGACAGTTGGCTTGCAAGATCCCTGGAGATCTAAGAGTCGGCTCATGCACACCACCGATGAGATGGGGCTTGTGAGGGACGTGGCTGCCGGCCATTGCTCTTCCCCCAGCACCCAGCATGGGCTCCGAATAAGGACTTATTTAGTGAGTGAACAAATGTCATCTAGAACTTAAAGAATCACTCTTCCCAGGGACAGTCTGGGCTGCTGGGAACATTGATGTTTATCTAGGACCCGCCAAGGGGAGGGAGAAAAGTGGGTCCCTCCCATGTGTGTGACCTGCCCCAGGAGAGCCAGCCATCCCCCCAGAGGCCCCTGGCACAGGGCGATTCACCCCCGCTCACCTGTAGTATGGATCCACAATAGAAATGTAGAAGACATAGATTCCATTCCTTTGGTCAAAAATAACCTTGTTTGCCGTCGGGCCTCCCAAGATCTGATACGGGACATTTGGCCATCTCAACGGGGCATCGTTGTCTGGGTCATGGCAGCTCACGTAGTTCTGGGGAGAAGGACAGAGGCATGCCCACTGGCTCCAGAGGCTGGGGAGGGCTGTGCCAGCGTGCACAGATGCACCCCCACTGCATGCAGGGCCCCACCTGCAACACTTCTCACCAAACACCCACGGGGGCAAGTCCAGGGCCAAGTGCCTGGTGGGCAGGTGGTTCGTGACCTTAGAGGGGGACACTGTGGGTGGCTGCTCAGCCTTTATCCTGCCCTCCTGTGTCCGGGCCTTCCCTTGCTGCAGGGCCTGCAGGCTTAGCCGCTCTGCTCGCCAGAATCCCTTACAGCCCTGAGTCCGGGTGTGAATGAGATACTGCCAGTTTCAAGCACTCTTGGTGTTATGGGCTGAGGCGTCCCCCCCCCGAGCCCACCGCCAGTCATATGCTGGAGTCCTAACCCCCAGGGCCTCAGAATGTGACCTTATTCAGCGATAGGGTCTTTTTCAGGTGATCCAGTTAAAATGAGGTCGTTATTAGGGTGGGTCTTGATCCAGTATGTCTCGTGTCCTCATAGAAGGGGGAAATTTGGACCTAGACGTGCCCAGGGAGAACATCACATGTAGACAGAGGCAGAAATTGGGGCATATGTCTACAAGCCAAAGAACACCAAAGATGACCAGCAAACCACCAGAGGCCAGGAGAGCCTGGAATAGATTCTTGCTCTCTCTCAGAAGGAACCGACCTTGCCAACACCTTGATCTCAGACTTCTGGCCTCCAGAACCGGGAAAGGGTCCACCTCTGGCGTCAAAGCTGCCTGGTGTGTGGGGTTTTTGTTAGAGCAGCCCTAGCTGATTGATACACCTGGGAAATCTGAAGGCAGAAAAGAGAAAGAGCCACCTTCCTAGGGCTTCTCACTGGCGCTGCCACCCAGCACGGTCGTGGCATCAAGAAGTGGTTAGGTGGTGACAGCAGCTTCTCCTCCCCGTCCCCGGGTCCCAGGATTTTATCCGTGACTCAACTGCTTGCACTTAGCCGGTACATCATGCTGCCTCCCTGAGCAGAATACTTTGCTCTTCTGCACTATTTGCTGGTGGGCCCAGAAGGGAGGGGGGCTAGGCTTATAAACAAAAGAAGAGACAGAAAATGGAAAAGCCAGAAAGTCAAAATGATGGTGAGCCCAGCGATATAAAAAACTGAAGGGCTCCTCTTGCATGGCATGAGCAAAAACCCAAGAGACATCGAAGACAAACGGAGGGAGGCATTTGCAAACTGTACTGCAACCGAGAGTTAACCTCTTGGCTCTATAAAGAGCTCTTGACAAGCGAGGAAAAGAAGTGAAAGTGGCCCTCAAACAAGAAAAGACACGAAACCCAGCCCACAGCGGAAGTCAGGTGCACGGAAATGGACAAGTTCGTCCCAGGGATGGTACACCTAGCTGGTGTGCTGTGGGGACAGGCGCGTGGTGGGAGGCACGTGGCACCAGCCCGCGGAGGGGACCTTCGTGGCATCCGCCCAAACTGCACATGCCTGTAGCCTGTAACCCAGCCAGCCCTACCCTGCCTGCAGGCAGCTCCACGGGACAAGGGTGGACGGAAGTGAGAGACTGGAAATGGCCCGTGCCTGTCAGTGGGGCAGTGGCTGAATAACCCCAGAGCATCCTCCCAGGGGAGCGCGGTCACGTGACTTTAAAAGGAAACCCCTCTCCGTGCCCTGAGGCCATGCTGTAAGGGAGCCCGGGCTACCCTGTTGGGGAGAGAAAAAGCACACGGACAACTCACAGCTCCTGGCTATCAGAAGCCCCATACAGGAGAGAACC